TCGACCCGAAACGTCAGCTTTCCTGATGCTGCTTGGCCTGCTGTGTTCATCCAGGTCTACATCTTGTTATCTCAGATTCTCCAGCATCGGCAGCTCCTACTATCTCTCTAAAAAGATGAGGAAATGCTTTTAAAAACCAAATAAATTGATCATTCTTTACTGTGGGTCACTATATATTCATGATTAAGACAGACTTTTGAAATTAAATAGATAATTCTTACCAGTATTATCTGCAAAGTAATTCAGAGAGGATTCAATTGCATTGAAGAAGCCGTCAATGACCATTTCATCAATGTAGTCAACGTATGCCTTCCAGTCACTCGAAGCTTCATCTGCTTCAAACAGACGCAGATTTTCCTGATGATTATAAAAGTATTATTTTAAAAGGCAAATCAAAATATTCCGTGTTTGACATGAATAAATCTGTTATCACAACTTGATATATTCCTAAAGCCATAATCTAACAATGAAATGAAAACAAAGCATATTGCATTATTCACATCCAAATCCAGTGTGATTGTTGGATGTAACGCTGGATGTAATGTGGTCATGCTGAGAAGATACTTTCATCGCAGAGAACAACCAACTCAATATGAAAGGAGAAGCTGAGATTCCAGAAGAATCAGGCTCTGAGGGACTTCACTCACTTCTGAATCCTTTTGTTAAGTCCCATCTTAGTCAACATCCCAGTGTTAAAACTGCTAAGGCATTTCTAAACACCTTGCTCTCCTTTAAACAAGGCTCGCCTTGTTCTGTGGAGCACCCTGTCTTCTTCCACAGTCCTGCTGGCTGTTTTCCCCCATGAGAAGCTTGGTCTGCATGTTTAAAACAGTCCTGCCCGTGCTGCCTACTTCGGCCTCAACGCAGGGTTCAGCTAGCAGTCAGAAAACAAACTCTAATCCTGCAGCAATGGACCACCCGGGAGAAGGAGGAAACCTGGAGACTCTTCAGTGCAGTTCCTTTAACAGGACCTTCCAAACATGCAACCACAAGGGCGGCAGATACATGGAAACAGTGCCACCTGCAAGTTCCCCTCCAAAACATTCACCAGCCTGACTGAGGACTTTATCAATGTATCCTTTACTGTCACGGTGTAAAAGTCCTGGAACTCCTTTGTAACAGCACTGTGGGTGCATTTACACATCAGAGACTGGAATAAACCAGGAAGATGGCTAACCATTACAGTTTCAAGTGTAATTGGGTGAAAAAGGTACTTAATCATGGCCTAACCAGCAATTCCAACATCCTTCAAAAAGATACATAATTCTTAATTGTCCATTGAATTTTGTAATTCCTGAAAGTCTAAACATAACAAAAACAGATCTAAAATTGCAGGCCAAAAAATGTCTGTAGTTATTATTAGATTATCAAGTACTAATGAATAAATGAACATGACTGAGCAGTGAAATGTGCAGAGATCCAGTGTGTCAGATGGCCAGAATGTGAAATACTCTACCACGTGGAATGACCAAAGAAAATGTTTTAGGCAGATTTAAGCTCTTAGATATGCACAGGGGTGAGAAAAGGCTCAAATGATATGTTGACACGGTGAGATGAACTCATGCGAAATGAGGCTGGTACAGTGCATAAGCACCAACAGTAGGTCAAGTGGCCAGTTTCTGTTCAGAATTCCATGCAAGATTTCTTTCCATTAGGTACCGTTTCAATTGTTCGGAAACAGTCCATGCTGGCATTAGGAACGATCTTTCATTTTCAGTTAATTACACGGAATTTAGTCAGATGGTTAACCTCAGGAATAGGACTCCGGTGGCAAATTTGCCAGCAGAAGTAAGCACTGCTTTTTTTGTAAATTTGTTCTTGGAAAGTAGGCTTCACTGTGCACACCTAAGGGTGGTAGCTTTATCATGGCTTTTGCCAATCAGCTCCTAAATTCTACAGATCTAGAAGAACCAACAAAACAAAATTTAGAAATAAACAAACTGTAGGTCCATTTTGAAGTAGGTAAAGATGGGTCAGACCAGAATGTTTCATTAGCACATCTAGGAAATAAGTGGAAGGTGCCCTATTAAGAGAAAGAGTTAGGCTGCTAGCTGTAATTCCTTGGTACCACTTTTCTCTATTTTATCACCGCTATCTTTTCTCTGGACTCTCCTCTTTCTTCAGCTCCCTACAAACTTTCAGCCACTTACTGGATGAACAGTATTTTGCCAATATCTCTCTTCAAGATGACCCTGAAGTGAATTTTGGAGAAATTTTCAAGTACAGCTGTGAGGAGAAAGTTAGTATTTGAAGAGAAACCTAATTAAAATGGTTGGGATGAAAAATTGACAGCATCCAAAACTGATAACTTAAATATACCAGATACTATTTCTTTGTTTTTAATTTCAATTCAATTCAAGTTTCAATTGTTTCTGGACCACGTCTCATTGTATGAAGGTGTTACCGAGCAGTCGTAATACAACTTGTAGTTCCAGGAATTCAGAATGAACCATGAAATAAACAGCTTCCATTGGCTCTGTACAGTGTCTTACTTAAATATAACTTAGTGCTCAGAATATTCAAAATGAATAATGGGGTTCTAACATCTTACTTATAAGCATTTACTTGACATTATTTGACATATTCTATAATGAACGTTGAGAGGAGGTCTATTAAAATATTCACAGCGCATAAACTAAGATTAAATAGTCCACAAGCTCCATTTGAAAGACTTTATCGCCCATTCTGTTAAATTGGGCTAGAGATCTGATCTTACTGTACCTTCACCAATGAGTGGATCTTTTCACCAGTTTGTTGAATTACACTGTAGCGCTTTTCAAGTCTTTCGTTCTTGTCATCCAGATTGAGAAGGGCATCCTTTTTCCCTTCCTTCCTCTCGAACAGGGGAGATACCCATGTCTTCATAATATTCAGTATTGCAGAGATATTGTCTTTTGCTTTTTGCACTCGGCTCTCCAAGTCATGAACCATATCTCGGACTGCTTGGATGTAATCCCAGACCCCTTACAAAATATGAACAAGAATGTGTTAAGCAGAATGGATTGCTGATGTATTCTTATTTATTAGGTTTGTTCGATGATAAGGCTCAATCCATCTCGATTTTCACCTATTAGTGGTGTGGAATAATAATTAGCAAGCTAAGGTTTTTTTTAATTCATTACTATTATTCATTGTTAAGTCTCAACATGCCACAGTCAAACTCTGGTCAGTTTCTGATCAATTTTACTGAAATGGTTATTAATCTTAAGGGAATGCTATCTCAGTAGTCTGATGGAACAAAACATCTGTATTAGAGGTTTTGATAGGAAAAGTTGGCTCCCAGAAGAAATGCAAGGTAATCAACTTTTCAACAGATTAGCAGAAACTTTATGACTAGGGTTCAAATGATATGCAAGAAACTGCAGAATGACAAGATTCAAGTCTTTCCCTAAATAGCTCCCCCTCCCATAATCAAATACTAGAACATCCCTGTAAAGCTCAGCTTTCTATCAGTTTCCCATTCACTCTTAGAAATTCTCTTCCCTGGCAGACATTAGCACTTCTTAAAAGTCTCAACCCTTCCTTCCCCAATGGCATTGAAAATGGAACAAGCTTTGAAATTTCCAACACATTTCAAAAAGTACCATCTTTTCCAGGATAACAGAACATTCGTAGAATCACTAAATCCCCAAATCCCCACAGGGTGAAAAGCAGGCCATTCGGTCCATTGAGTCCACACCGACCCTCCAAATAGCATCTCACTCCTCCCACCTTACCCCCATAACCCTGCATTTCCCCTGGCTAATCCACCTAACCTGCACATCTTTGGACTGTGTCGGGATTCTGGAGCACCCAGAGGAAACCCATGCAGATATGGGGAGAATGCGCAAACTCCATACAGACAATTGCCTGATGCTGGAATCAAACCCGGGTTCCTGACGCTGTGAGGCATCAGTGTTAACCACTGAGCCATTGTGCCACCCCATAGGAATATAACAGACAAAAACAGTAGGCCATTCAGTCCCTCAAGCCTGTCCCACCATTCAACAAGATCATGGCTGATCTGTTCCAGGCCTCAACTCTTCTTTCAGGCCAGCTCCTCATAGCTGTCAACTCCTCAATATTTGAAAAATCTACTTCAAATATTTTCAGTGATCTAGCTTTCTCAACTTTCTGGGGTAGAGAACTCCAAACATTCACTACCTTCTCAGAGAAGAAATCGCTTCGCAACTGATTTTGAAATGAGTGTTGCTTGTGACCAAGACCACCAGGTTGAGATTCCCCCATTTGTGTTAAAATATTCTCAACACTTACCCTGTCAAGTCCCCTCAGAACCTTTTGTGTTTCATTAAGATCAGCCCTGATTCATCAAAATATCTAATGAATAAAGGCCAAAATGGTTTAGCTGCTCTTGAGAAGTCAATCCTTTCATCTCAGGAATCAGCCCAGTGAATCTCTTCTGAGATCCCTCCAATGCCAGTATATCTTTTTAGAGATATGGGAACTGAAACTTTTCGGACCATTCCAGGTGTGAGCTCATCAACAGCCTGGACAAGAAGACTTCCCTGTTTTAAACTCCAACTCCTGGTAATGAAGGCCAATATTGCATTTGCCTTAATTACTTGCTGTATTTGCATGCTGACTTTTTGTCTTTCAGACATAGAACACTCAAATCCCCCTGGTTGTACTTTTTTTGGAGTCTCTCTCCATTTAAATAATATTCTGCCCTTTTGATTCTTCCTACTAAAGTACCTAATATCACACTTTCCTACATTCGGCACCATCTGCCAAAATTTTGCCACTCACTCAACCTATTTGTATCCCCTTGCAGATTCCTTTTGTTCTCATCACAACATGGGTCTCCCTCCTGCTTTGGCATCAATAGCAAATTTAGATGCGTTATACCCTGCCCCCTCTTCTAATTCATTAAATCATGCAGTAAATAACACTGGCACTCCACCAGTTATAGCTATCCAACCAAGCTTTTCCAGTTATGCTCTGCTGGTTCCCATTCATCTGGCCTACAGTTCAGTTTTTGATTGGTTACTCTCCTTAGCCACCTTCATTAACCATGTGTGGTTCATCCTTCTCACTGAGTCCTCCTTTACAACTCAATCAATTTTTGTTGGGTGTTAGGAAATATCTGTTTAAATGTTTCCAACAAGTCATCGACTGATATTCCCCTAGATCTATTTTCCCAGCCCACTTTAGAAAACTCTTTCTTCATCCCTCTGTAATTGCACTGAACGAAGTTGAACACACTGAGTTGAGACCCAAGTTGCTCTTCCTCAAACTGAATTTTAAATTATACCACAGTGAGATTACCAACCCCAGAGGAACCTTAACTATGAGATCTTTTTTAAGCCTAACTTATTATTAGATCTAAAATAGCCTGGTTCTGGGTCGGTTCTGCAAAATATTCCGCTGAGAAGCAATGTTTGCAATCAATATGAAGATTATGACAATTGAAGCCACCTTCTGACACACCTTTTATTTGTTAATTTATACTGTGTCCTACAGTGAAGCAATTCTTTGAGGGTCCATCCAATGACTTTCTTTCCTTTGCTTTTCCTTATTTTGACCCAAACCAATTCCACAGTTTGATCTTTTGCACCTATATTGCTACTTACTACATCACCAATACCCTCCTTTATGAACAAAGCTATCCCATCTCCTTTTCACCTATTCTTCTAGAACATTGAATATCCTTGAATACAGAGTTCCCAGCCTTGGTCACTTTGTAATTACATCCTCATAGTCACTATGAAGTCATATTCTTTAATTTCTACTTGTACTGTCAACTTATCCATTTTTCTACAAATTATGCAACAGTTCAGCAAAATTTGGGATTTGTCCATGACATGGCGCCTTCGATGATGCCTATGGTACATTTGAAGATGGGCATAAGTTAATTTATTACCTTCGTTCTTCCAGTTCAGAGACTCTTCTGCCTCCTTTAGTTTGGAGTCAATTTGTTTCACCTGTTTCTCTATGAGGGGAAATTCCACCCCTAAGACAGATGCTCGGACCTTGTTGTACCAGTTTGCTGTCAGCTCCAATGTGGCTACATATTTTCGGTATGATTCTTTCATGGCGTAGATCTCAGCAGCAGTGTCAGGAACGTTTACAGTGCGACGTGCCTCTAAGTATTTAACTTCTCGTAAGACAGAAACCAGCTGTAAATTATAGAACAGCCAAGTTGGAACAGAAAGGTAATGCACCTGACTGGTAACATTTTTTTCCCCCAGTTAGGCCTCTCCCTGGACAATTGTTTAGAGACAAAAAAAAACTGCAAATGCTGGAATCAAGGGAGACAAACAGGAGGCTAGAAGAACACAGCAAGCAAGGCAGCCTCTGGAGGAAAGGAGCAATCAACATTTTGGGTATTACCCTTCTTCAGGGCTAGATGTTGGGGTAGGGGGAACTGCAGATAAAGGTGGGAGGTGAGGGATCGAGGTGGAATGGCAGTGATAGGTGGACACTGGTGATACATATGACCTGGTTGGTGAACAGGAGAGACGAATCTGGTTGGTGGCTGGAAGGGAGGGTCAGAAGATGGGATAGAAGGGAGGAGTTGGGGCTGGAAGTGGAGGCGGGGGATGCATGGGAAGGTTATTTGAATTTGGAGAACTCAATGTTGAGTCCTCGGGGCTGTCGGGTGCCCGGGGGAAGATAAGGTGTTGTCCTTCAAATTTGCGTTCCAAGTCGCTGTGACACTGGAGGAGGCTACGGACGGACATATCGATGGGGGAGTTGGGCAGGGAGTGGAAATGGGCGGTGACCGGGAAGTTATGTTGACCGTTATAGGGCAGGCAAAGATGCTCAGCAAAACACTCACCTAGTCTATGTTTGGTCTCATGGACATAAAGAAGACCACAGTGGGAGCACCGGATGCAATAGACTGGGTTGGAGGAGATGCAGGTGAAGCTCTGTCTCACTTGGAAAGGCTGTTTAGGGCCTTCAATGGAGGTAAGGAAGGTGGTGTGTTGCATCTTTTATGGTTACAGGGGAAGGTACCAGGTGGGTTGGAGTGGTTGGTGGGGAGTGTGGCGCGAACTAAGGAGTAGCGAAGGGAATGGTCCTTGCGGAAGACAGAGAGGGGTGGGGAGTGGAAGGTGTTCCGGGTGCTGGGGTCTAATTCAGTTGGCAGAAGTGTTTGAGGATGATACATTGGATGCGGAAGCTAGCGGGGTGGAAAGTGAGGACAAGGGGGACCCTATCTTCATTATTGTTTTGGGGGGAGGGGGGGGGGGGGTTAAGAGCTGTGGAGCAGGGAATTGAGGAGGCGCGGTGGAGGGCTGTCTGGATGACTGAGGGGGGAAAAGGAACGTCGTTTTAAAAAGGGATGCTTGGGAGTGGAACGTCTCTTTGTCAGAGCAGATGCGATGGAGATGGAGGAATTGGAAAAACGGGATGGAGATTTTGTAGGATGCAGGGATGCCAGAAATGGATCTGGGATGCTTGGGAGCAGAACGTTGCCTCATCAGAGTCTGGGATGCATGGGAGTGGAAATTTCTGGCGACAGTTTATGGACCAACATTTGCTATAAACCCACAGACTCACGTAGCTACCTAGACTACACCTCCTCCCACCCTGTATCCAGCAAAAACTCTATCCCACTTTCGCCATTTCTCCTTCTCTGTCATATCTGCTCTGACAAGGAGACGTTCCACTCCCAAGCATCCTGGATGTCCGCCTTTTTCAAACAACGCTCTCTTCCCCCCTCTGTCATCCAGATAGCCCTCCACCGTGCCTCCTCCATTCCCCACTCTACAGTTCTTAACTACTCCCCCCTTGAAACATAATAAAAGATCCCCCTCGTCCTCACTTTCCACCACAACCGCCTGGCTTGCTGGGTTATTCCAAACTCCTGTTTGTCTATCCTGGAGAATTGTGTTTGCAACAGGAACAGCTTTATTTCTTTATTTTCTACTTAAAACTAAGAAGGTCTGCAATGTGTAACTTTTAACCTTACTTCATATGTTTTACACTATACTATAATTACTGAAATGTTTAACTCTTAACTTTGTTCTTTCTTTCTACCTTGTTCTTAAGATTCTGTAGCTAAGATGGAGCCTTGTGTGGTGACATTATACCCTTTTCACCGTACTCATGTACTTTCGCACTTGAGTACACATGACAATAAAAATCAAAACCAAAACTTGATGAAGGCAGCATAGTTTTAAATCAATGCAAAATGATACGAATTTCACATTAGTCTGACATGACTTCTGGTGCTGAAGTATATTGGAGATGAAGGCTGCTCATAATTCCATGCAGATTATTGCAGTTGTATTTTACATTGTCAGTCCTCTCATGAAGCTGTCAGATCAGAGTCACATTTACCCTCTCCTACACTGACACAAACTATCAACCCATATGGATATGAAAAACTGTCAAGAGGGTGGTACAGTGCAGCAATGCGTTGCAGAATAGCAGAACCTAGGTTTAAACTTGTGAATTCAGTGGTGAACTTTTCAGGTCTTAGTATCATTGTTGGGAGCTTGAAGTGATCATTACAGCTCAGCCTCTTTCTGATTAGGAAGGAAGAGAAACTTAAAACATCCCCTCGCAACCCATGATGTCCAATCCCTCAATACTATCTGGAGAGTATAGGAGTTTCCCTTCAGTGAATCCTCCAGCACAGTGTAACAAGTGGTCACAAAAATAAAAAAAGCCTTTGTCCCCGCCGGAAGCACAGGGTCAGAGATAACATCTGTCCACATCTGTCCCCATTCAGCTTAGATGCAGGCCTTGATGGATGCGTCTGCTGCTTATCTTTGTACATGTGCAAGTGTCACCAACTTATCTATATCCTAAGGTCAGATATACTGAAGCCCCCATTGCTGCTTGAGACCAACACTGTCCCTACTAAAGTCTCCACTCATGCTCTTAAGCTGCTGCAAACTGACCCACTTGTTGGTGCAATGGTCTCCTTTGACAAAAATGAGCGATCATCTTGTTGAAATATATGAGATTCTGAGGGGACTTGGCAGGGTAGGTACTAAGATGATCATTCCTCTTGAAGGGGTGTCTAGAACAAGGGGCGTCTAGAACAAGGGGCACAGTTTAACGACAGACAAGGTTGTTCGTTGATGAAATTCTCTTCCACAGAGAGAAGTGGAAGTTGGGTTATGGAAAATATTCAAAGGTGAGTTAGACTAATGTTTGACTGACAAAGGAGTTCCAGGAAAAGAAAGTGTTTTTAAAACCACAATGAAATCAACTTTGATCTTGTTGAATGGGGGAGTCAGGCCAGTGGGCCAAAAGGTCTATTCACATCTCTTCTGGTCTTATTTATGTCCCTAGATACACAGATGAATTGGAGAGGGAAATAAGAAAGGAAAGTAAGAGCAATGAGGAGGAGGGAAACTTGAGAAAGTGGGCAGGGAGGAATGTTGGAGAATGAGGAGTTTGGAGAAGTAGAATGACATACTCAAAGAACATAAATAGCATAAATCCAAATAGTGAGAAAATGGATTGAGTGTAGGGTGTAATATTTAATCATGATTCTGCACCACTCAACTGTGATATATTAAGACATGATCTATTCATCAGTTGTGACTCACAAATCCAGCCCACTGCTTCAAAAGGCGAACCAACTCCAGACCTAGGACACTCACAAACTTCCACTGATAAACACAGAGCGAATAAAGTTATAAAAACAAAGCATGGAACAACTCAGCAGATCTGGAGCATCTGTAATGAGAGAAACAGAGTTTACATTTCGAGTCCAATATTTGGAGTGAATAATGTTGTTAGCCTTCTTGAGTAAAAATAAGAAAAAGATGTTTTAAGATAAGTAATTTTAAAGATCAAATATAGTCTTGAGATTCAGCGAAGGGTTGGGTTATCTGTAGTACACTTACAGCTACCAATGATTCTACAGTGTTGCTTGATAGACTGTTAGTCCTATATGACCAGGGTAGGGATGATAATAGAAACAATTAGAGTCCATCCCACTAAGACTGAGGCTGTTTTGTGAAGCCAGGTTAATCTTTTCTTAAAATTTCCATTATTATAAATGTTATTATTTTGAATTGGATCCCTTAAGAATCTGGAGATTTGTCAGATCATAGTATAGGCATACAGGCAGATTGTTGAACTGACTGTTTTACTTTCTGTGACCTTCACTCTTCCAATTACCTAATGTCAGATTGGATTCATAACTAAAACACAAGTTTAAACAAGAGCAATAACTGCACAACAATCAATGTCGAGGAGGAACAATAGCCCTCCCTTCCCTAATATATGACGTTGCTTTATGAATGTCCCAAAACAGAGGAAATCTACAAACAATAGTCAATACAGGCTTGATATAGCTCAAGTCAAGTTGACAGTGCAGCTTCTCTCACCCCTAAAGTTGTCTGAACACAAAAAAAACTTAGAAACTCCCAAAGATCCAGTGTGCTACCACCATCCTCATATTATGCTTAGTAAAATTGCCTCCAGATTGCAAGTCAGCAGTGTGGTGATGTGGGTCCTTATGCAATGGAAACTGAGATTAAAATTTGCACATTTTGTTTTGTACAAGATCTGCAGCAACGAGAAGAGATTTTTGGCTGTTTATTTGATCTAGATTCGGACTCACTAAATTTACAGTGTTTATTCACTGCACCACCTTATTGTTTCCAACCAGCATTTCCTATAAAACATTGTACATCAGAATACTGCTGCAGCTGCATTATTGGTTGAGAATTCTACACACATAAATTAAAAAAAACATTGGAAAATATTTGGCAACAGCTGCACCCAAATGCAACAAGTGACACGCTCTACATAAATTTAATTTACCTGAGGATCAAAATTCACTGAGATCAGTTTTGTTTCTGGATCTCGTTTGAGGAGAGGTTGAGTGAGATTATATTGAGACTTTTCAGCAACTGTGTCAGACCATTTTAAGTACAGATTTTCTTCATACCTTAAAAAAAAATTCAAGAGATTTCAACATGAGAGCAAGCACATGTGGGAAGATAAATTTCTTAAGCTGGCATCTATTCAACAGATTCAGCATTAGTACAAATATCTCAAGAAACATTGAAAATTAGTGAACTAGTTTTAACAGCTAATTGTACTATTTTACTCAGCCATGTTAAATAAGCAGACAATAGATGTTCAATAACACTGCCACCTGCATGACTTATAGTTCAGACATTTATTAGCTGTGGCTCAGTGGCCGTCTCACCTCTGAGTCGTTGTGTGTACGTGTCAAGTCTCACTCCAGGAGCTTAGCACAAAAGTCAAAGCTGACACACAAGTACAGCACTGAGGGAGCATCACAACACTGTACCTGCTGTCTGTGAGACAAGACACTAATTGCAGATGTATACTCTGATCTCAGGTGGATGCAAAAGATCCCACAACTTTATCCAAAGAACAGCCAGAGAGTTCTAACTGGAGTCCTGCCCAGCATTTAACACACAAGCTACACCACAAAAACAGATTATCTACCCACTGCTGTTTAGAAGAGCTTGCTGTGAGCAAACTGATTGTTGCATTTTTTCTATTGCAATGGTGACCACACTGCCAAAGCATTAAAGTACCACATAAATATAAGACTTTCTTCTTTGGTCTAATGGAGCATCAAATCATCTTTTTAGGGTGTGTCAAATAAATTAAATATTAAAATCTAAATTAGATATCCAAACAAGATTTCTGGTACAGTAACAACACCAACGTGTACTTAAATAGTGCCTTTAATGTATTAAAGCATCCCAAGGTACTGCCAGAACATATTGTAAAACAAAATATAACAAAGCTACATCAGATGACCAAAAGCCTGATCAAAGAAGTAACTTAAAGTTTCTTAAAGGAGGAAAGTGAGGTAGAGAGACAGAAAGCTATACGGAAGGAATTTCAGAGCTTAGGGTACTGAAGACACTAGGCAGTTGAAGATACATCCACCAACAGTGGAGCCATTGTAACTGGGGATGTGCTGGAGGCCAGATTTAGAGAAACATAGATATCTATAATGGTTGTGGAGTTGGAAGAGAATATAGAAATAGGGTGCAGCAAGTTATGAATCAATTTATAAACAAGGATGGATATTTTAAAATCAAGTTGGTTTTTAACCAGAAACCCAGTGTAGATCAGCAAGCAGAGGAGGGAGAGGGAAAGAAGATGGATGACACAGACAGGGGAGGCTTATGAAGGCCAAATGTTGACACCCAGCTTGGAGTGTGCTGGAAGAGTTTAAGATGAGAGGAAACAAAGGCAGAGATACAGGTTTCAGCAGCAGATAAGCTGAGATGGGACAAAGTTAAGTAATGATGTGGAGGCTGAAATTGTGGGTTCTCGTGAATGCACACATAGGCGATCAGAGATTCAGCTACGGATGAAATGTGACACCAAAGTTGTGAACAAATAGAATTGATCTCTGTTGGTTACCCACAAAATGGAATGGAGTCAATAGTTAGGGAATGAAGTTTGGAGGAGCACAGGGGCCAGAAACAATGTGAATAGATATTCATGCCTGTGAATTCACTCTTCAGTGAATGTCAATAACATGCTCCTGAGACTGATTAGGAACCCTGTAGTTGTATCATGGGAATGCTTTACTCTTCTATCAACATGGAAGGTGGCAGCACTGACTGTGGCCAATACTGAGGGAGCTAATGGTTGGCAACTGCTGGAATGATTAATCCTTCAGATTGTACTGTGGAGTCCTTAATAAGGAATTAATGTGGGATGTTGCGGTTCTTCCAAACAATACGACTTGAACATTGAGCTCAGAGGTACGATGGTCAGGTAAGCCTGGATCAGTATGTCCTTGTCAATGTAGCAGTTTTAATCTCTGGAGTTTGCATATTCACAGCACAGATGTGGTTGCACAACATTTGCAAGCACTAGAAAATAAGGCATTAATATGGAGCCTGGAGATGCAGCCTGGTCCATGAGCTGGGTGTATGACCCTCAGTGCAGTGTCCTCACAGCAGCTTTACAAAGACAGTATTTGGTGTAGCCGGAGGGGGAACATTGAAGTGCAGAAACATATTATAATTGGATCACAGATGTGCCCTGAGCGTCTTTCAGGATCTGGCATTGATGTCCGTGGAAGTGGATTGCACGTGAATGATGCCGATAGAACATTTCCTAAGATGTTGGTGCCTGGTGTCCAATATAGATCCCCCTTAACTGTCAACTCCCCACTGCCAAGTGAGAAATTGCCTCAATGTCCTGCTTAAAAGATGCAGCAAGTTGTTCCCGACATTTGAGATGGGCCTTACCAGACTTCCGGTAATTACAAGCATAGAGTCATAAAGTCATACTGCACATAAACAGACCCTTCAACCCAACTCATCTATGCTGACCTGGTTTCCTAAACTGAACTAGTCCCATTTGCCTGCATTTGGCCCTTAGCCCTCCATACTTTTCCTATCCATGCTCCTGTCCAAATGTCTTTAAATGTTGTAATGGTTCTCTCACCTCTAACACTTCCTCTGGCAGCTCTCTCCATATACACACCACCCTCTGCATGAAAAAGCTGCCCCTCAGGTCCCTTTTAATTCTTTCCCCTTTAACCTTAAATCTATGCCCTTCTGATTTGGACTCTCCTACCCTGGGGAAAAGACCTTCGCTATTCACCTTATCTATGCCCCTCATGATTTTATAAACCTCTATAAGGTCACACCTACATATTCTGCCACAAATCTCAACAAAGACCCCGAATCTCAAGCCCCCATAAGATCCTGTCCTTCGGTTTAAAACTCACAGCCAAAGTTAATGGCTGAAAGTCCTCTCTCCTCTTTGACAGTCTCTCATTATCAAGGATGACCTTCGTTTCACTCTGATTCAATGAGTTTTGAGATGGCTTATAAGCTCAAAGTATGACCTGCAGACTCTGCCACATGTTGAACAGATGGCAATTAAAGGTTCAGGTACATTAACAGTTGAGAGGTTTGTGCACTCTCTCTGACTCCTCTATTCTACCTCAGCACATTCCCAACCAAGTCTCAAGATATGTCTGGCTCTTTCATGAATGAACCATCTTCATTTCTATCAATTGCAAGTCTGGGTTTCCCATGAACCAACAGAGGTGTTTGACCTCTTCAAGAATACCGTGAAATCATCCCAAAAGCTGTTGTCTCCCTCAGAGCCTTCTGCCATGACTGAGTTCCAAGCAGAAGCAAAAACAAAGTTGCTGGAAAAGCTCAGCAGGTCTGGCAGCATCTGTGATGGAGAAAACATAGTTAACGTTTCGGATCCGGTGACCCTTCCTCAGAACTGATGGTGGCTGGGAAAACATCAGTTTATATGCAGCAAATAGGGAGGTGAGTGGGGTAGGGAGTAAACGATAGGATTGAGCCCAAAGAGAGAAAAAGACAGTTGGACAGACAAAGGAGTTGCTAGCGATCAGGCTGGGAGGGTGAGTAGTTGTTAATGGGGACTGTTAGTGACTAACAACAGGGGGTGTGTAGTGGCAGGCTATGTAGTAACAAGGCCTGGTGTGTGGGGTGGGGGGCTGGGACATGGGAGAGTTTAGGCCCTAAAATTATTGAACTCAATATTGAGTCCGGAGGGCTCGGTTTTGGTTTTCCAAGCAGAAGAGTTACTTTGGAGGAGTTATGGTGTCAGGTATATAAATGACATTTCCAGTTTGGCCGAGCTGGCTTTAATAATTAGCATTTTGACACTGGGAGAGTTAGCTTGGGAGAGGATGCTGCTGTTGGGAGTGTTTTCTTGGATCCTGCAAAGATGTCACTGGTGGTACTTCTTCAGTTCTTCACAGTAGATTGGCCTAGTCTCTGAATCATAAAGGCACTGTCCAATAAATGATGATTTTAGTCTGGAGTGGAAAGCAGCTGAAAATATAACCAGCATCTGTACAGTGTGGGTGATCTAGCACACAGGAACATGGAGATGAAAAGAAAAGACTACCCACAGATAATCTGGGGAAGGGAAAACGTTACCAGAATGGGATTAATCATGAGCAAGATAAACCCAGGCAATGATATTAGTATATCCGGAAACAGATCATATCTAACAAAACTGATTTAATTTTTGAGAAGTCAATAGCCCTCATAAGACTATATTCTTTGATTGTCAAAACAAGACTCTGAATAGGTGTCATACAATAAACTTCTGACAATGATTGAGTTCCTGTGGTATTAAAGGGCAGATTTTGGGTTGGTTATGGAATAGATTGTGTGCGCATGTACAGAAGGTCTTCACAAATGGCAATTTTTTTTTCTGCATGGGGCTCAATTACACATAGTTATGGCATCAATGCCAGGCTTGTGTGCACCCTATAGAATTGTAAGCATAAGGCCATTAAGCAGAAGAAAATCTTGTCACAGAAGACTTGCTGAAGTTTGGAAAAAATTGCTGCCTCGTGTAGTGAGTATTAATACACTGTACACACTGAAAAGAAAGATGAATGAGTTCCCAACTTGGCCAATATCACAGTTTGTTCATAAAATGTGGGCATCACCAACAGTTAAAAGTCAATCTCATTGCTGTAGATCTGGACTGTCATGTTGGCCAGAACAGGCAAGGATGACAGATTTCCTTCCCTATTAGTGAACGAGAAGGATATTTATAACAATCGACAGTAGTTACATGGTTACCAGGAGACTAGTTTTTTTTTTAATTCCAGATGTTTTTATTGAGTTCAAATTTCACCATCTGCCACATTGGGATTCAAGCCCATGTCCATAGAATATTAACCTGGGGCACTGGATTACCAGTCAAGACACTAAACACTTAACCACCACCTCTATCGACCGATCTCCCCTTCACCTTCACCTCCACCTCCCTGCAATTTATCTAGGATATGTATCACAGATACTTTTTCTGGAATGCATTTGATTGCTTCTGTGAGTCAGAGAAGGATTTCCTAGAGGCTTTTTTGCCCTTGTAATGGGCCTGATATTTTATGTGGAGATGCAATGAGGTTGCTGGTTGCGTTGACAGTGATGGGCAGTGGAGTGAGCCTTGTGGGTGCACCAGCTATTTTCTTCCTGCTTTTTTCATATATTTCCATGATAAAAAAGGGATCAGGGATTTGTGCTCCCACCCACCATCACAGCAACAGCAAAAATGCTGCCCTGTAGAAATATTCATTTTGGAAAATAAAATCTAAAATACGTGGAAGTGCAGAGAGAAAGATAGAGTGCACTGATGTTAAAGGGCTCTGATTTTAAAATAAGCCAAATAGTTGAAACTGAAATAAAAACAACAAATGTTGAACATGAACAGCAAGCCTGAATCAGTAAGGAGAAAATACAGACCATGGAGTAGAATTCAGGTTTAAAACTGCACTGAAAAAATTAAAATCAAAACATAACCTCTTCTGAAAACAATTTAAAATTGGATTTTTTGGTCAAAGAGATCAACTATTATCTCTTTCAAAAAACATATCTGAACACAGAACGCATTTGTAGTAACCAACTGAAGTGAACATAAAGATACTGTTATGCATCAAGCAAATCCAAGATTGTGTGTGGATGGATGCTTTTTAGGCATGTATAATGTAATTGACTAGAATCTTTCAAATTAGGCAAATACTTTTAATGCATAGCAGACTTTTAGTTATTTATGACTTAGTACCAGGTTTTACCACATGCATGATAATGTCTCCCATCTAAAGATCTGTGTTTGGGAAATTCCAGTCATCTGGAAATGTTTTGAGCTAAACCGAACAACTCTCAACATGATTTTCTCACCCTGCATTGAGACCGTAAATACAATAGATATTTATCAATAAATATTTATATCTACAATGCTATCTCATTCACACACTTGTGGTTAAGCGTCCTAATGTTATTTTTTTAAAATCCAGAAATAACTCAGTCCGAACTATCATAGCTCACGGCTAGTTGCTGGAAAATGTGCTCGTAGCATTCTGTAAAGAGATGATACAAAAGTGATTGGAAGTCATAGTTCTGAATGCGTGATTTGCCACCAAAACATTGATCATTTTCACACCACCGGCACTGCAGAATACCAAGAAAATACCCAGTTGGAAAATAAAGAAAAAGTTCAATAAAAAAACCTGTGTATCGAATATTGGAGGAAGGGGGAGAGAAAGTACTGTGGTTTTAGAGAGCCACCTAATGTTCACAAAATAGAAGTACAGCCATTACAAAGAAATCAGCCCTTGCATGCAGCCTGGAATATAAGTCAGGCCACAGCTGGTAGAATTTTGGCAGATTCCAAATTATTTCTGGATTCAAGTTTTCTAAATCTTCAACATAAGGGATCATTCCAAGAAAGGTAAAGATGAGGAAAACTCCTCAAACTAGAAAAGTATGAAGAATTGCTGTCATGGATCTTATTTGTTTCTTAAATCGACCCATAATTTTTGCCTCCACTGTTCTCCTTGGAATCCCTTTCACCCTGTTGCTTAATCCCTAGACCGAGAGAATTTATAACTTTTTTTTTAAACATACAACTGTCGCTCTAAACAGCTTTTCTGCCGATATGATCTTCTGTATACAACAGCATTCCCCGACATGTCTCCTCTGGCTGGCTCAAAAACTATTCTTTGCCAGTGTATAAAGTGGCTGAACACTCAGTATGGAGTTGAGGCTATTAAATTGCTAAGCACAATAGACCATATCCATTTCTTTAATCACTGCTAATTGAATAGTGTCAAGATCAGAAAGCAAATCAAGTCAAAGCTGAATGTTGTAATCATACTCCCAGAGAAATTACACATGACAGATTAGAAACAATTCAACTAGGTGAGAGACTAAGACATTTGTTATCAGTTTACCATATTGATCTCTCTGAGATTGTTTTTTATTCTTTCATGGGCTGTGGGTGTTGCTGCAAAGGCCAACATTTGTTGTTCAATCCTAATTGCTCTGGAATTGAGAGGTTTGCAGAAACATTTCAGAGGGCTTGATTTGATTTGATTTATTATTATTGCCACATGTATTTTGTTACAATTACAGTGAAAAGTGTTGTACAATGTCGCCACTTTCCAGTGCCATCTTGAAGCACAGAAAATAAAGACAGAAAATAAAGAGTCAATCACTTTGCTATGGGTCTGGATTAACAAGTGGATGGCAGATTTCATTCCCTCAAGGACATTAGAGAACTAGATAGTTTTTTTTACAATAATCTGCTATGGAGGAATTTTCACTTGTGTCTCCAAAGCATTAGCCTGGGTCTCAGGATTACTAGTCCAATGACAGTACCCAATCCTCCAGGATCTCCATAACCAATGCCATGCTTAGGAAATGCATAATTGCATCATGTTTAAATAAGGTAGAAATTATGGGGCAATTTTTCCTGTGTTTCTCATCATAGACTTGCACCAAAGTGGAGGTGGTGGTGTGTCATAGTTCACTCAGACTCTGTGTTGCTGTGGAAACATGCATTTTTGTACATGCATGTTGCAGTCTGGAACGGTGAATTATAATTGTAGAGGCTCCAACATTTATTCCATGACATGGCTCCCACTCTTACAGCCTGCCATGAGCAGACGTTGGAAGAATTTACTCCGTTTGATACTCAGTCTGTTTGGCTGCACACCTTCCTTGGTCATCAAGTCCTTGAGTAGGTCTTGAACCCAGAGCTTCAGGCTCAAAGGCAGGGATGCTACCAACTGCATTACAACAATACTTCCAATAGAAAGTATCACACAATAAAATAAAGATGCCTCAGAAAAGAAACTTTTGTTGTAAGTATAACAGTCAAAAGATGTTGTCATTTTGATAAACTCCTGGATAATTATCAGTCTCACAAACTCTGGTTACAAAGCATAATTGCATAGAATTGGGTCAACTATCCAAGTCATCCAATTGCAACATAACTATAAGCAATTCATCTAGTTCAATAAATCTTCATAGCTTACATGTTATAAAATTGTTTCAATGCATGAAGGCATGTTTTTAGAGAGCTACGTAATACTAAACAAAGACTATTACTTACATATCCAAAAGTTCTATCATCTCCTCATATTTCCGAATCATTTGTTTGCCTTCAGACGAGTCCATGCACCTGCAGAAATTCATTTACATGTTTACAACATTTGGAATGTAGCCAATTTTTCCCTTGTGTGTCCAGATTCAATAATAACATATGCAAGAGGACCCTGAAAAGGTTTGAAGGGATGTATAAATATGCAAACCAGTGCCATTCACTTGTTTCTATATATTTCCAAACCAGGGGCCAAGGTAGATTAAATGCAGGTACCTTTGCAAGCCCATTTTTCATAGAAGCATCAATAAGAGAATAACGCCCTAACAACTTTATTCTGATTCAGCTGGTCACCAGGAGAGAGATGGGGCGAGATAGTAGGAACTGCAGATGCTGGAGAATCTGAGATAACAAGGTGTAGAGCTGGATGAACACAGCAGGCCTAGCAGCATTAGAGGAGCAGGAAAGCTG